GGATGAGGACCTGGATGCCGAGCTGGGGGCAGATTAGGTGCCGAGTTAATTGGGTCGAGTTGGGCAGGTTAGGTGCCGAACTGACTGGGCCGAGCTAGGCAGGTTAGGTGATGAACTGACTGGGGCGAGCTAGGCAGGCTAGGTGATGAACTGACTGGGGCGAGCTAGGTAGGTTAGGTGACGAGATGACCAAAGTGCTGAGCTGCCCGGCGAGGTCACTCCGATGCTTAAGTCAATACTCTCATAATAGACTACAAGCTAAAAATCACAAAGTATGAGAGCTAGAATATGCTTACTTGCCCCCMCCCCCCTCATGTCATTGGGGTTGGTGCCTTTATATAGGCATAGTTTGGTGTGGGCTTCATGTACCGCATCCGAGATTTTTGAGAAGTCGTCTAAGTGGTCTGAGATTCCCTAAGGTAACTGCCATGCACGTTGACCACCCTCCGGATCGTTCGGCACGTGGGCCAACTTCTAATAATCGTGGGAGTGTTTGGATATGCATGTCGAATTTGTTGGCGAGCACGTCTCGCAGGTCGCCAGGCCGCCAGGTGGGACACCATCAACTTGGCTAAGGTAGGTTGTTGCCTAAGTGGTTCCGGGTGTCACCTAATTGTTCCGAGGTGCCATGTGTCACAATATCATTGGAGGGTCAAATCCACCCTCATCAATAACATCATTGGTTTCTTATAAAAGTTGGATCATTGACCCACCATCTAGATAAGAAAATAGTTTTGCTTTTGAATTAGTTTTAAATTAGGGAAAATTATGGTTAGATCTGGCTATACATTTAAAATTAAGGTACATGTTAGTCTATAAATCAACAAAACTCTGACAATGGACTCTATTTCTCAAATTATAAAAAAAAACCTTGCCATGTCATTGCTTATGTGGCTATTGCCAACATGAGGCTCTTAATCCATGTTAGACACAACAAAAAGCTTACACTGAAATTGCCCTTTAATGCTAGGTGTTTGGAAAATAAGAAAATGGTTTTTAGTTTATCTTGCTCTCACACTCTCTCTCTCCCTCTTTGCTCAACAACTGTGTAATTTGAAAATAAATAAAAATGGTTTTCGATTTTTGTATTTACGTTTTCTCTATCAATTTCTCTCATCCTTTCTCTACCTATCATTCTCCCCCAATCTCTCTTTTTCTCGGTCAATCTCTTATTCACTTGTAATTTATGTCGTTCTCCATCAGTTTCTCTTACACTCATTATCTTGTTATTTTTTTTTCATTTTCTTATACACTTATATGGTATTAATTAGACATTTATACCATATAAAAGAACATGAGACCAACTTAGTATAGTACAAAATTCATAAGAAACTATTAGCTATGAAATTTACACAACTTGATAGAAAATCATAATTTGATTGTACAAGTGGTTGGTCCCTTTAGTTCTTTTATACGGTTTGATTAATATTATAAAAGTTTGTAAGAAAAAAAAAAGAGAGAGGTAGCGAGAGAAAGACTGAGAGATAAGGAGATATTAACCGAGATGGACAGTGAGGAAGAAGAATGTGTGTGTGTGTGTGAGAGAGAGAGAGAGACAGAGAGAGAGAGAGAGAGAAAATGTGAGAGAAATTGAGGTTTTGATTTGCCTACATACCAAATTTGAAAGAGTGAGAGATCGAGAGATGATTGAGAGAGTGAGAGAGAATGGAGGGAGATCGAGAGACAGAGGGAGCATGAGAGAAATTGAAAACCTATTTTCGGAATAGGCTTTTTTTTTGTGTGTCCAACATGGATTAAGAGTCCCATGTTGTCAACGACTACATAAGGCTTTGATGACATGGCAGGGTTTTTTATAATTTGGAATGTAGAGTTGGTTGTCAAAGTTTTGTTGGTTTTTGGACCAATCTACAACCTAATTTTAAATGTATAACCGGCTTTGACTACAATTTCCCCTTTAAATTATATATTTCATTTACATTATATAAATAAATTTTATTTATCATACTTAATTTTTGTTTGTCTATGATATCATTTGACCCAAACCACTAACCCACCACCCAATAATAAAAATAGTTTGATTTATAGGTTGACATTAAATTTTGTATTACATTTCCATCATTGAAAAAATCTGTTATTATGTATAATACTTATTTTGTTCAATATAATGAATGCATAATATTAGGGATGTACCGAATATTTTATTTTTTATAAATATATAACATTAGATATGTGCCAAAAAATGTCTCTATCTTTTTTTGTTGTGATTCTTTGTATTTTTTTATTTTTAAAAATTTATTATTTGACTATGACATCATTTAATTTCTTGGCAGATTTTAAAATTGGCATTCCATTTTCATCATTAATAAAAATACTTCTTACATTTTCCTACTTATTTATTTTAAAATTTTTATTATTTAATTATGGAATTACGTATTAATCCATTTGACCCCAAATAATTGAATTCTTGCCCACCACCGGGAGGGAAGAAAATGGTTTTGTTTTCAAATTACTTTTCAAAATATTTATTTTTATACTATTAAAATTAATATTGTAGATTTAATTACATAAATTTCATGATGAGAAAAATATATCTTAAATATAGGATTTAACGAGAGTGAATAGGAAAATATTTGTATTTCCAAGTGGTTTTAAATCTTACATTCAATTTCCACCATTAATAAAAATATTTTTTATTTACCATACTTATTATTGTTTAACATGTTTGTTAAAAATGTTTCCATTTTTTTAATTTCTATTTTTTATTTTATCTATTTTTGTTTGAATTTTATTATTTAATCGTGGCAACATGGATTAACCCATTTGACCCAAAATGGTTTAATTTCTTACCACACCTAGATGAAAACTCTATTTTTGTAGGTAGATTTTAAAAGTATATACTTTTATGTTATTGGAATTAATTATTTATTAAGTGCGGATTTAATTAATAGAACTTAATGATGAGAAGAAACAAAAATAACTTAAATATAGGATTCATTGAACATGAATGCAAGTTAATAAATTAAATATTGGATTTATTGAGAGGGAATTTAATGCATTGAATATCATAAAATTACCTATTTTCAAGTCATTTAATATCAATAACTAATTACCCTATTTGCCCTCACTTCTTATCAATAAATTTAAATGTAGAGGGGTAAATTTTGTTCTCAAAAAATTCCAGAAATAATCTTGAGGCCATTCGTGCTTTTTAAAGTAGTATAGATTAGTTGAACATTAAACAACAAGAAATGAATTTGGGTGCTAATTGAATGCCAAAAAGTAAAAAAAAAAAACTATTAGTGGTTCACATTTATGACTAGATAAATGAGGAAAAATTGTTTTATTAATAGAAACTCCCAAAATCATATGCTTTCTATCCCATTTAACATTGTTTTGAATAAACAGATTCCTTCACAATTAATCAAATTTCTAGATTAGAATTCTCCTGCAAGATACAAGCAAACTCTATAATTAAAAAAAAAAACTAAATGGACATTGTAGAGCAACGGATGATTATGATTTATTAACTAAAAGGGTATTTGAAACCTTAATAGTAGAAGCTAAGAATAATTTCCTTGAAATTGAATTCTGTAAGGGAGAGAGATATAATGGCTAAAGTAGTATAGAGATAGAAGTTTGTGATGATAGGAACTATGAATGAGAACAAAAGAGAGGGGTCCGGATGTAGTAGGTACGTTAGGTAATGGGACTTTCATCCAAACGTTTTTACGTGTAGTGATTAATGAATACAAATGTCATAGGCTAGCTAATTTTATCGGTCAATGATGGGCTAGTGGCAGATTTAAACGTCCAATCCTGATTTGACACATGCCCCCTTACTGTCCTCCAAAGTCCAACACAAATACTTATCTTTTACGTTACACTTGACTGAACTTTTCTTCTTTAATTTTTGGGTAAATTATAAAGACCCCTATATTATGGGGTTTGTGACAAAGACTCAATAAAGACCCCTGTATTATGACCGTGAGACAAAGACCTCCTTTTGTTAGTTTTTCGTCCAAAAAGACCATTACGCTATTTTTTAATCCTCATACTACCTTTGTAGATAGAAATTTAATCTAATAAACAGAAATTTGAACTAAATCTCTAATTCAACAGTTCGCTTGAACAAGAATGTTAAAGTTCGCTTGTGTGCTGTTGAAATGTTCAAGCACACGACTCTTGAGTCCATTTCAACAGAGATCTTTGTTCAACAGATATCTCTGTTGAACAGTTCGCTTGGCAGAGATCTCTGAGTTGAAAGCTTAAGAATGGGCAGTTCTGGCTTTCACGGCCAATGCTGCCATGTCGATTCTGTTCTCTCCATTAACACTTAAACAAATGAGTTTCTGAATCTGAAAGAACAAACAGCGAAACCGACTTCTCATCATCACTTTTTTTTTTCTGGTAACAGAGTTGGTCCTTGTTAACTCAAAATCCCACTTTTTTTTCTGGTTACTTATTTTTTTTTTTATAAATCATCACTGATTCTGACATTTATGACCATTAATCGATACTGATTAGTAGCTAATTGGTTGGGAGAGAGAAAAAATGAGAGAGGACAGTGAAGGAAGGGAAAACAATAGGTTAAATAGGATTTAAGAGAAAAAAAAGACACAAATAGAAAAAGTTTAGTAAGATATTTTGATAATTTAAGGTATTTTATCATCTGATTTAAATTAAAAATAAGGGGGTCTTTGTCTCATGGTCATAGTACAGCAGTTTTTGTCACAAAACAAAATATAGGGGTCTTTTATCACAGACCCCATAGTACGGGGGGGTCTTTATAATTTACCCTTAACTTTTTTTTTTCTTTGAAAGATACTTTTAACTACAACTTTGAAAAATTCAATTTCAAACAACAGAACAAGACACACTTGTGGCCGGACTCAATTTTGCTGCTGATCAATGGAGCCGACCACCATTAAAGAATAATATATAGCCTTTGTGGGAACTGGAAGCCAATAATATTTCGAAATCTGCTACCAATAACCTTCCGGATAACCTTTGATCCTTGATCAGAATTCAGAAATAGAATATATACTTCAATCTCACGCTTGAACAGCTATCATATCGTATTATATTATTGCGAAGGCTGAATATGCCATACATTGCAGTGATCAGACTCTGAGAGAAATCACAGAAGAACAAGGAAGATAACAAAATTATCTTTTTTTTTAATAAGAAGAAAAAAGAAGAGGAAAAAGAAAGAAAGAGGGCGTGGTGGTGGACTGGTGGTGAGTGTCTGTATTCATTGCTGATCGAGCTTGCTGCCGGCCACATCCACCACGAACCTATACCTCACGTCGTTCTTCTCCAACCTCTCCATGGCTGTGTTTACGTAATCCATTTTCACCACTTCGATCTGCGAAGTCAGCCCCTTCTCCTTACAGAAATCAAGCATCTCTTCTGTTTCCACCATGCTGCCTATGAAGCTCCCGGTGATCGTCTTCCTCCCTTTTAAAGAAACATACAACAGAACCATAGACAAAATTTTAACATATAATAAATCAACAGAAAGAGGAGTGAAAAGTGAAAACAGACAATATATATTACGTAGACTCACCCAGCATCACCATGGGAGAGACGAACTGTAGAGGCTTCGAAATGACACCCAGCAAGATCAACTTTCCGTCGATCTTCAAGAGAGAGAGATAAGGTTCGAGAGGATGATGGGCAGGGACGGTGTCGATTACGTAGTCAAGGCTATCAGCGGCCTTCTGCATCGCGTCAGCATTAGAACTCACGAGGTAGGCATCGGCGCCAAGATGATCCAACGCCTCATCTCTCTTCTTGTCAGAGGAGCTGATCACGGTTACATGATGGCCCATCGCCTTGGCTATCTTCACACCGATGTGCCCAACCCCTCCAAGGCCCAGGATCCCTCCTCTCAGCCCACTCTTCTTCAGCCCAAAATGATTCAACGGGCTGTACACCGTCAACCCAGCGCATAGTAGCGGAGCCGCTTGTTCTGCTGCCAATCCATCTGGTATTTTCACCACAAACCTAACCAGGAGCATTCGAATCGAGAGGGAAAAAAAGGGTTAAAATAGAAATGATCAATTTTCCCTTGGACCGTGGGTAGAGAAGTAAAGATAGAATGAACAATAGAAGTACTTGACTACTTGCAGGGTTTTATTTCCTTACTTCTGATCAACCACCATAGCATCGGCAAACCCTCCTTGGGTGGGTTTCCCATCTGGATAGACATCGTTATAAGACCAAATCTTCTTGCTACAGTACTGTTCTATGTTAGATTTGCAAGGAGAGCATTGCCTGCAACACCCGACGATGACACCCACTCCGACGCGATCACCAGCTTTGAACTTGGTAACATCCGATCCAACCTCTATTACTTCACCCACGACTTCGTGCCTTCAGATTCATCATCATGACAAAGCGTCGAACACATAATCAACAAACAAATTTAATCTTGCAATCATTATATGCTAATGTTATATCGAAATGAAGATACTAAAGTTGCAGAAACCGTGGCCGTGGGGGTTTCGTACCCAGGAACCATGGGGTAGTTGGACATGCCGAGGTCGTTCTTGATTTGGTGGATATCGGTATGGCAGATGCCACAGCATATTACCTTGATGAACACGTCTTCCACGCCTGTGTTTCTGCTAAGACAAAATTCGAGATTGGGGCGTGAATAAAAGGAAAAGAGAGAAGATTTTTAGTCAATAAAAACTTTAGAGGGGTTGGGGGATTCTATCATCTGTGTCTACAACTTTACCTTAGACTGTAAGTGTAAGGTGATAGGAAACCAGTTGGGTCTTTTGCTGCCCAACCGATCGTAGTTCTCTCCTTTTCCAGGCTACCCATGTCGCACGTGAATTCTCACTCGTTCGAGAAGGAGGGGATGATTCCTGTGCTCCTTCTTTTCGGGTTGAGAGGATGAAGAACCCGGGAGAGGAGGAGCCTGAGAGTGAGGAGTCTGTAGATTTCACCTTTAAATAAAGACAATAGGCCAGACCGCAAGAGTGGAGCCGTGGAGGTGGAGCAAAAGCAATTGAAGAAGCGACATCCCAACTCAGGTCGGAACTCGGAAGGTGTGGTAGGTGAAAATTGACACGTCATCGTTCCCTCACTGTGACGGAATCTGCTCCTTGCGATGTGCAAGTGAGGCGCCCTATGTGAGGAGCAGATCCGGTCTCCTCTCCGTCACTACCTTCGACCCTTGCAAGAAAATTGATGTGAAATTACGGACTTGATATATTTTGGGCTTCACTCAGGTAAAATCCATTCGAACAGCCTTTATTACCATACATTGAGAATATCTCTATACTTTATGCTTTATTTATTTTATAGAAAGATATTCCTAATGCAAGATTACAAAATGCTGATAAAATATTGTGTGTACAAATTTGTCCTGATAGAAGCCAATCTCATAACGTTCCTTCATCCATCTTATGGATAAATACTTTTTTTTTTTAATCTTTTATTTTTTTATGGATAAATACTTGATCTAACGGGATTGAAGCATGTGTACCTTGATAGGAGGGCGGATTCAGTGCTCACATCGTTCCAATTGCACAGTTGGAAAGGATGTGAGAACAGTGTAGCATAGTTTTGTGAGGATTAAGCGTCTGTTTGGCAACGACGTCGTTGCTCCAGAAAATGGAGAAACATCAGTGCCATCTTGGAAAAAAACGATGTTCTAGGAAATATTTGTTTGTTTAGAATTGTTTTTTTTCATAAAAAATGGTGCTCTAAGCCACGTCTTAGAAATTGAGAAGATGTTATTTGGAGTAACACTGAATTTGATGTTTTTTCAGATTACAACTCATTGCTGTCAATGAGAATGCAATGTGGTAGTGACGTGGACTTTTTATAATGGGTGCCAGTATTGAAAACAAACATGGAGCACTGGTATCAATTACCAAATAGAAAGTGTTTTTGTTACTCCAGGAAACGCCCTATTTGATAGCAACATTTCCAAAAAAAAAAGATGCCATTTTATCAGAAAAGGGTAGTTCTAACCCACACATTAGCAACACCGTTTTCGGTGTTGTATTGACAGCATCGATGCCAAACATATACTAGGGTGTGGATATATATATATATAAGGTAAAAACTTAAACCTAGTTTAACTTTTCCCTAAAAACTGAAACCTCTCCTATCATTTTAACATGGACTAAAAGACCTCTCATCTTTGGAAGTGTCATTAGGGCTGCATTTGGTTGCAATGCAAACGTAAATATGTACACTACATATTTACCCATTTTTCGGTTCATGAATGCAAACACGATTTACATTTTAAACCGATTTTGCATTCATCCTGTTTGTTTGAAATTGATGCAAAGGTGTGGGCCCACCATTAACTGTTCCAATTATCTTATGTTTCAATGCCTCAGCTTTGGTCAAAAAGTTAATTATCAAATGAATACAAATTTGTATCAAAAAAATAGGTACAGTAATACTCTCTTTTTAGAGTACAAAAGTGTTAGAAAATGCAAATTTACTTTGATAATCATTACTTTTTAATGTTTCAAACAAACGCTTGCAAATGGGAACTAGAGTGCATAAATACCCCAGTTCGGCATTTGTATCGCAAATAGACGCAACCTAGACAAAAACCTTCAATTCACTATCAATCTGTCAAGAACCATTACAAAGTGACACATGTGAAAAGTTGTTTTTTTGGGAAAATAACGGTTCAGCCCAGGGTCAGAATTTTTAGGCCCAAAGTACAATTAGGGTAGGTAACAGCTCAGAATTAATGCCAATTCACGGGTGAACATTGATGCATAGAATAAGATATTTGACATTTTAAATATTTATAAGTCTGCAGTAGAATTCAGAAAACTGCATTGAGCCTGTCCTACTTATCTGTTTTTTTCCTCTGAAAAACTAATTTTGCCCCATTTTATTCCTTTGCTTGTTCGTTCATTGTATTTATAGAAAACTCACCCTTTATTGTGTACATTGTGATTCATTAATTGATATCAAGCTGAAAAAATCAAAACTAAACAAATTTTATAAAAGAGTAATTAGTTGCAAAATAAAAAAACAAATAAATGAATAAAGTCATCAAAAACTTAACTAGCATGACAAAAGGAACGGCAACTCTGAGCGAGTAGGGATTACATATGCAAGAGCGATAAAGTCAACGGTCACACCTACACCTGATCATCTTGTTGTTAATGAAGGTTGAAGTATATATCCAGATTTTGTATTTTCTTATTTAGATTAACTGAGGTTTTCATCTATTTAAAATAAACACCTAAAGTGTTATACTATAAAACACATCTGCTGAACAAAATGCTAGCTAGAAGCTAACCTACATGTACTACAGGCCCTCTCTGTGTAGCAAATGAAAGCCTACACAAACATTCTTCTGGGAAGTAGTTTAATAAACTGTTCTAAGTTCAATGAATCAAATTGGAACTTGACTCAATGGGTTTTGTGTGAATTCCATTTAGAGTTATTTTCTATAAATAACATAATTGATATAAATTATTGGATATAACTCTCGGTAGGATGGGCTCAATTGACCACCAATTTTTAATATTTTAATTATATATGCAACAGTTGTGGTTACTAACAAATTCATGGAGGTTTTCAATAAATTGAGGGAGAAATTTCCCTTAACAATGAGAAGAATCATAGTCAGAGAGCTTTTTGCTATGTTCCAACAAGATTGCTGCAAATCTTTGTTCTCTGGTTATTGGGTTATATTTTTATTCTGGAAATTTGAATAACAAAAAAGGTTAACATTATATTTTTAACTCCTTAGATTTAAAGGTTCATGCATATGATAGGGGAGGTCTTAATCCATTAAATAAACAAAGTAGAGGAGATTTTAGTATTTAGGAGAAACCTTAAAGGAGGTTCAAGTCTTTTATTCTAATATAAAACACACTTTACACTTTAGTGGATGGGATCATATAGTGTTCCGTCTATTTTAGTAATTTCCCGTCAGAGAATGAAGTCTGTCATAAAAGGCTAAACTACTGAGCGTCATGAACTCTGCTACATCTTTTCTAATTTAGTATTTAAAATATAATTTATTAATTAAAAAAATCAAAAATTCAAAACCCTACTTCTTAGGGCTCAGTTTGAAATGGATACAAATATAATTATGTAGAGTGTAAAATTTTATATAATTATTTATATTTATACTGTATAAATTTGCATTTATATTGCTTCCAAACCGAGCCTAGATTCGTTCCTCATTTTCTCTCAAGAAACACTCACCCGACTGACCCCATCTCATCTTTCTGGTCTCTATGATGTAACGCTCTCCAATAATCCAATTATCGATGCATATCTCATTCTCACCTCAGGAACAGGGACCATAGTTTATTAGTCAAAAAGTTATTGGGAGGAATTTGGATTTTTGTCCTCAAAATCTGTCATCGCAGATTTGCTGTCCTTAGCACCTGTAGATTTGAATAACGCTGTTCCCGGGTTGGGTCAATTTAGTAGCGTTTTTTCAATTGATTCAGCATGATCGGTTATTTATAGGTCAAACTGAAATCGATCCTCTATTAAGTAAAATCGATCTGGTTGGTTTGAGTCGGTTTGGGTTTCAATTAATTCCAATCTTGTATAATACACATGAAGTTAAAGTGCTAATATTATATATAATATTTTAGAATATATTTTCTAGAAATATATATTTAAAACCAAAATATATATAATATTTTTTAGATATATGTTTATTATTTAAAACTAAAATATCTATATTTAATAGATATTTTTCACATAACTTGGTTCGGTTTTGGTTTTCACATATGAAAACCGAAACCAAACCGAATTATTGGTTTGTTCATCTTTGCAACCCAAAACCAACCAGTAATAAGGAAAAACCGACCAACTCGAATTGAATCAGGCCGGGTTGATCGATTTATTCGATTTGGATTTATTTGTGAAGAGCACTTAGATTTGAGAACATATTCTTATCTGTATGTTTTTATTCACAAAGAGAGGTGATCGTTTCAAAGCTCTTACATTGTGTATTGGGTTTTTAATGCACAGCTATAAGTGGCATAGGATGGTCTGTACACGGATTTTATGGAGAGAAAATCCGAATTCATCCAAAATTCAACAGTTCTTATATCCGTGCAGTTGAACAACTCCATACTTGTATGTTTTTGTTTATGGCGAAGTATTCTGTATTCCCAATGCATAGAAAACGGTGTGAACACGAGTGATGAAATCGTAGTTGCTATCAGAAATGAAGAAAGTTGGCTTAAAGCCGATATCTGAAACCATGTACCAATATATCATACAAAATGATTTGATAAAATTTAAAACTTTACAAATGTAGGCCCTAGCCATATAGTGATTATAAAATGAAAAGTTTGAAGAAGAAAAAGGAGTATACCCAACTTTGGGTATCAAATGTATAGAATCCTTCCCTATAGCTAGACCACAGGACATGGCCAAATAAAATACATCAAGGAGAAAGATTTTTTAAGGGATCAGTTTAGTACCTCAGGTTCTTGGGGGGTGGAAGAGCATTTTAGCCGGTAGGAATATAATCGGCATCATGGCTAGTTAACAAAGGAGACAAAATCTCAATCTCGAATGATTAGGGCTGTTCATAAGAAGACCCAACCCAACCAATTCGTACTGATCTAATCTGAGTCGGTCGGGTTTTTTTAGTACCGGTTGGTTTTGGGTTATAAAAAATCATAAACCGATGATTTGGTTTGGTTTCGGTTTTCATGTGTGAAAACCGAAATCGATCCGAACCAAACCGACTTAGTAGTTAGTTCCTAGTTAGTAGTTACAACCTACTTAGTTCCTATTTAACTAAGTTGTCTCTATCCTAATTACAACCTACTTAACTAAGTTGCCTCTCAAACTCTGCTCCCTCCACAACTGGATCCATGGATGGGCCATAAAACATTAAGGAAATGCTGGTTTCCTTTGGGAATGTAGAGCCATAAATGAACACTTGAACAACAACTAAGTCACCACTAAGTAGAGCCAAAACCGACCCAAGCCGACTCAAACGGTCAGGTCGGTTTTGC